TTTGCGTGTAGAGGGTGTGTGGCTGGATACTACTCCAGCCAGCCCAGCTCTGCCAAGAACGCCCCGAGCGCCTTCACATCTGCGATGGCCTCTTGGAGGTTGCCCGGCGAGCCGAGGTACTTTTCCCGGTAGTTGGCCACTCCGTTGCATTCCAGCAAGACGTGAGTGGCTGTTTCTTCCGCCTCCATGCATCCTCTGCACAAGGGGCTGTCAGTGACACCTAGATTGAAAAGGTGCCTGTTAAAGTTGCCATGACCAGTAATAGCACCCGTTACCAGGCGCAAATATGGTACATAGAGCACGTTAAGCCGTTGGTCCCGTAAACATTTGCAGTCGTTAGTACCCTACGATACAGCAACAGAGGGTCGATTCCCATCTTCCTTAACCATCCATAAGGAAGGGCTGAGCCCCTGCACTGGGGACGTAAAAGGGCTGGTGATGAATAATAATTGATGCCTAATTATGTTTGCTGTTATAATTAATACCTATATATTCAATAATATTTAATTCTTGTTGAAATGCGTTTTGAAATGGCTTAATGTTATAATCACTAATCTTTACAGACTTCAAAAGAAGAGGAGAGCGGGAATTCGCAATGAGTGATTGTGCATTATGTACCCGTTTGTTGTTTCGAAGGGGTAATTAATTATGCGCTGTCCTTGCCGCTTGCAGGGCGGCAGGGGAGTGTATGGAACTCTCCAACCGCATGGACCAGCACGATGGCTAATCAAAACGCGTGTAGAATACGCACTGAACCTCCTCTGATGAATTCTCGCAGAGATTCCTCTGTGGTCGACCTGCTTCGACTTGCGATCTGAAGGCTATTCTCCCTCTAATGGAAACTATGGTAGTAGGACATCAAAAAATAATCCACTTTATCTTTACTAGTTATACGGATCCATCCATAGATTTTTTTAGTCTTTGCTGACTGCTTTTTACTGCATTACTAGCATATTAACGTACATTTATAAAAAGCATATTGAATTACTCAAAGTTTCAAATTACGAAAATTAAAAATAGACTACTATAGATCGAAGACAAAAAGTTCAGAGACAAAGAAGATCAAAGACAAAAAGTTTGCATGCGGAAACCTAGGACGAAATAAACGGTGGTACGGCGCAGCGTTACATATTTCACACCACGGCTTTACTTTGTAGCTTGTTATTTAAAAGATTCGATTGTTACGTCACACAGTATCAAACTAGCGGTTTCTAACAAAACAATGACGTCATTCAATTTTTTTTTATTTAATATGGAATTAAGAATACTTATAGCGTCTTGGAAAGTTAAATAATCTGCATTTTTTTTCTGCCAACTCACAGTTTACCCAAAGCAGTCTATATGTAGTGTTTCCATGCGTTCGGATAAAGTCGGACACAGTCAAGTGTAGTGTCTGTCCTTATTTTTAAATTTAATCTGACGTAACATAATAAACCACGTTTGTGATTAAATATTAGCATCTAATTTATTTAGTTATATATGTTAATTTCGAGATGGAACTAGTGCTCGTGAAAATATAAGAAATCAATATGCATAAAAGTTGTTTTTATATAAAAAACGCTGACTTTATTTTAGTTAGATACTTAAACTTCCGGCTCAATTAGTAAATCTGTCCAAATTTTTCGGTTTAAATACCTGGCAACCCTATGAGTATGTGACGTGCGTCATAATGTTGTTCTCAATCTCCCTTTGTACCGACTTGAAGGACTTTCAAAGGCAGAACTGTCTGACACGACATTTTCTAAAAGGGAAATGAATAGTGCCGACTAAACGGAACTTTTAAGATGCTTCTTTTCTCTAACATTTTTTTGTAGTCGTAATATACAGCTATATTCTGTTAACCTTTAGATGGTGACGTTATACTTTACGTGTCAGTTGAGGGACCATACACGTGTTAATAATACAAATACTGATAATATGCGCATTATATGTATGTTATTTGTTGAGTAATCAATAGCATAATATATACTAATGTTATAAAGAGGAATTATTTAATTATTTGTTTGCATTGAATAGGTTCCGAAAGTGCTGGACCAATTTTGAAAATTCTTTCACTGTAAGCTACTTACATCATAAATAGGTTTACGTGAGCAAAGTCGTGGAAAACAGATGGTAAAGTAAATAAGAAATTAAACACCGCAACGCTGTCACTAAACAAGGTTTGGCGTCAGAGTAAATTTACGCTAAAACTGCAATTTTGGTATGAGTCCAAATTCATATTATACAGAGAATAAGCATACCAAGAAGGTAGTAACCTTCTTGGAGTATTACTCCCGTAGAACCTCGTACTAGGTTAACCTTTGCTAAGTCTCTGTTTAATAATATGAATCTTGATTAATACAAAGTACAGTCTCCGCGGAAATTTACCGCTAAACCATATAACACTGTTAATTTTTAAAAGTTCATGTGCCACAAAGATATGAGAATTAAATTTAATGTTTTCCATTAATTAACGATCTCTCTTACTCTTTGGTAACTGCTTGACGGTGATTTCATCTGAGATGTCTGAGTGCGAAGATTCGATTCCGGATGAATCAACTTTTAAAATAAGCCCTGTTTTATCCTCTCTTATTAGTGTGGTGTTCGTTTATACCTTTCTCATTATTTTTGACACAATTCCTTAGATACTTTGTTCATATATTTAAGAATATATAATATTTAAATATGGTAACTAGGCCGTGTTCAAAAATACTACATGTATACTAAACTTGTAGATTAAAGATACTATATAATCCAAGCTGACTTAATAATATATTTGACATTATACTAATAAACAAGTAAATAGAATAGATAAGGCTTGAATAATCGATAATTTCATTAATACGATTGAGCAATTAATTAGTTACCTATTTCAAAGATAACTTTTCAAATGTGAATAATAGTTCTATATTAGGCATTTACGAGACTTCAGGTTTTACTTTTAACAAAACAATAAAAAACCTTTAGTTTTTTTACTGTCCGAATTAATAAATAGTTCGTTGGAAATTAGATGAATGTAGTGTGTGTTTATAATACACTGGAGCGGTAAAGATAACCAAATATGATCACTGTATGGGTTACAATGATTTTCATAGAAAACAGTCTACATGAGTCATTCATATTTTTTCTTTTCTTTGATAACGATGACTTTTTGATACCTATGAATAGCGCCATCTTTTGTTCCACCGTGAAACTTGAAGTTGACGTGTTCACGCAACTTTTTCTATACCATTTTCAAATTGCGCAAATTATACGTTGTGTGAACTCGCTTTTGTAAACATTAAAAATGGACGATCCACTTCTGCTTATATGATTCGCTTACCAACAAGATAACAGCTATAAAAATATCAGTATTTTATTGTAAAAAAATACTTAATTATAGCGACTATAAGTAGTTAAGGCACTGATGTGTGCAAAGCACCCGTCCGCACGGGTGTCATTTACCAGTGAACCTGAACCACTCATTCATCACAAATCAATATTTCCAATATATAATATATCGTTATTTAATGGAATCAGGCGTTGTTTTGCTCTGCTATGATATCTAGGAACTTAAAACTCGGTGTGGAAGTTGCTACATATCAGTTTGACGGTTAATATATTTTTGTTATTTGAAGATATATAAAATCTTTACACGCCGATTCCGAGCCCAATTCGGCATATTTATATGAAAATGGTATAGCAACATTGCGTATCTTCTTGTTATAGAGTACTTTTCTGCATTTACCATTAAAGTTCAAGAGATTATAGTTTCTAAACAAACGATTTACTATTTATGTAATACAAAACTTGAAAAGAATTTAAAAGTACAATAACGTTACAGAGTTGTCTATATAGTTTTAAGATAATTTTAATATTACTTCAAGACCTTAAACGACATAGCAACTGAAGCAAAAGTGCAATAATCAGAGACTCAGTTATAAAATAGACATGAATGCTCTTTCATTAAACGAACATTGGACTCGAGTGGAATTTTAACTTATCAGAATTCTGTACCAAACATGGAATAACGGAATAATGACTCCATCTGTGACAGCCGATTTTCCCTTTAACTACTAGATCGTTTGAGTTGTTTTGAACTCCTATGCAAGTTGGTTAACCACTTCTAATATAACGTATAAAAATGTATTTCGATAATGGTTTTATTTGTATGCTATTTTTTTGTGTACTAACTATATTATGTGATACAAAAAAATTTCTTTTTTACTATTATTTTTGAAGTATCTTATGATTTAACGAAATTTTACCCTGTGCTCTAAGCAACTTCTGGGAAGATTAAAAAATATGCTAAATGAAAACCTATTAGAAGTTAGTGGTTCATAATATTCTATATTTTTAAGGAATCATATTCATGTGAGTCGCCTTGTTGAGCCGCTTGTAAAATCGACCATAACATTATCCGCTTCGCTCTACGTATATTTCCATAGAATATGTAGTGTTGATAACTACATGCCCCTTTTCTTTTAATAATATATCTTAATATAGCTTCCACAACGTAGCAAACTTAGGAATAATTACTTAATTACTTAACCCACTTTGAATATGTATGTTATTGAAGATAAAATGTTTAAAATTTTATTTTAGTAACCATTTGTACTATTAACAGAGTTTTTAAGGTTAAATAAAGTCGGATCTCATTTAATTTAAATTAATAAAGGTATTTTGAAAACGAAACACATAGTTCAATAATTGCGTTTAAACATAAAAGAAATGTTAAGTAAAGCAAAAACTTTGAAATATTTTTTACGAATATTGCGTATACGAAAGAGTACAAATCTAATGTTAGAAAAATACATCAATTTAATTAATTAACCTAATGTTTATTAATTAAATAATGAAGCTTGATGGCACTTGAGAGACGTCACTACTTTTTATCATGCATTTGATACATTTTTAGTGAATGTCAAAAAGTGATTAAAAAATATATAGTCTTGATAATAAAATCCTAATGAACATTAAATCATATTAAGTGTTTTAGAAATAAACACCTACACCGTCTCTTGGCAGTTAAAACAAATGACAATTCAAATGAAAAATAATGTATGTCACAAAGAGTTCAAAAATATTTAAATAAAAAAGTCAATGAAAATCCAGACGTACTTACATAGTATATTTATTCAATTTACCTACAAAATCAGCAAAACATAAATAATTCAAGTATTCGAACTATTTTAGTGATTACTCTATGTGTAACATAACATGTTACGGCTTACACGCATCGTACACTGGGCGCTCGATTAAGTTAAAAAAAAAAACTAAACTTACAAACTATATCACAGACTGATGAATAAAATCCAATATCATTCTAATTGTATCTCTCTCTCACTTTCGCGAACATTTCTGCGCTGTCCACCTTGTTCGCTCCTTCGTTTTTCCCGAAGAATGTCATACGAGACGTCTTCACTAAGCCTTTGCCGTTTTCAGCTGATTTCCGCCAATAAACAGTTTGTACTGCGTGTCTTCCAGCGATGTAGCGGGTAGCGCTGCCTATTATTTGCCTCTTGTCCATTTTCAAAAAGTTTCTATTATTTATTTAAAAAAAAAAGAATGGTGATCCGACCTCCTTTTATTATAATGGGACCGTACTGGCGGATAGATGATCCATTTATGTCTGACGAACGAGCCATCGCCCCTTTTATACTGGCTGCCACGTGCGATTCGTTAAGTGGACTGATAAAGAAAACAGAATGAGTATTGTGACGTCATCCGCATGTTTGTTTGTGTGCGCAAACTTTATATATTATTGTGAGCGGCATATCGTTTGCAATAATATTAGCGCTTATAAATGTAAATTGAATATATAATTCGGTGTAGATGTTAGTTATTTATTTTTCTTTTTTGTCACTTAATCGTGAATTTTATAATTGAACTGATTTTGTTAAAGAATTTTATATTATTACATGAATTATATACAGTGAACCGGTTCATGGAAGGACTCGGAAATAAAACTAATATTTCATTTATAACTTACTATTTTCCCGCGACATCGCCCGAGTAAATTATAACATATTGTCACTACTGAACTCTGGTAATGCATTTAAGTGTTAATAATAATTAGTCATAGCATGTAACATACATATATAAATATATTCACTTATTACAAAGCGCATAAAATCTTGTGGGAAACATGACATTACTAAGTTTGAATAATAATATATTAACTAAAGTTCATATACTATGAAGTAGTAATTGTTAAGATTATACTTATTTTATCGTTAGTAACACCGAATTTTTCCGTTTTTTTCCATAGGAAGGTTTTCATATATAAATTATGTTTTTTTTTCTGCAATTAATAACATATTCGAAGTTATGTTTGGTTATGTAATTTATCAAAATAAAGGAGTCTATAGTTAAGATAATTCGAATGCTGTGAAGGTTTTATAGATTATATCTGTACTAATATTATAAAGCTGAAGAGTTTGTTTGTTTGTTTGTTTGAACTCGTTTATCTCAGGAACTACTGGTTCGAATTGAAAAAATCTTTTTGTGTTGAATAGACCATTTATCGAGGAAGGCTTTAGACTATATAACATTATGCTGCAACTATTAGGAGCTAAGAAATAATGGAAAAAGCGGACGAAGTTGCTGGCGGTCACTAGTCATGAATAAATAGAAGCTAATATTATTGTGCATCATCCGTGTCTGTTAGATGTTTTGTTTGTAACCATTTAATGGGCTCCGAAACTATTGGAACGATTTTTATAATTCTTTCACTTACCGGAAATTACATCATACGAAGATGATATGGGTTGTAATTTACGCGGTAAAACAGAGAAAACAGCTTGTAGTTTAATAAATATAGTTTATGATACTCAGAGATGAATAAACAATGAAAACAAATGAATATTTTTTTTATAAATAACATGAGGAAATAATAATATCATAATAGTTTTATGAACCTGCCTGATAGGTATTGGTAGACTATAGTGCAGATTACGACATGCTGTACTAGTAACGAATGAAATAAAATAATTTTAAGGTGATACTTTACTTTCGAGTCGATTCACCATCATCACCACCAGGTTTATTAATGTGCCCATTGATGAGGGCCCTTGCATATCGATGGAATCTAATTGAAGCGAATAGGGAGAATGGTCCATGACCCAACACGCGTGCCCAATGCGGACTGATGGGTGTTAACGACTGCAGATGCAACCGGGCCAACGGAGGAGTCACCCAACCTGTGACGCGCTACCCCTGCGCCATCAATAAATCCGTCTATTACACGTGCTTAAACCGATGTAATAGTTATTCTTAATACAAAATGCTTAAAAAATCCACTTGGTCCCTGGCACCCTGAGATGGGAATCGAACCCACGACCTTTCGCAATCCGGGCGACTGCTCTAACCGCTGAGCTACCCAGGACCTAACAGGACTGACGAATCTTTCAAGCACTTGTTACTTTTCGCTACTACAGAGTGTATTCTCATCAATGTTCAGGCATCCACCATTTTGTATTTTGTATTAAGAATAATTGTCAGTATGGCATTGTGAATGCAAAATTAATCAAAATATAAAACAATAGTTGTTTAGTAAAACAAATATTTTGCTAACAAGAAGCCTCGACATATTATAAATAATGTTTTTATCAAATTTTACAACCATACGTGTTTAAATATCAAAGTTCTATGAGTGAGCAACACCAAAGAAAAACGTATCTGAGACGTGACAGTATCGTGACCACTAATGATTAAGCTATTATGACTGTTATTTCACACCGTGACTCGTTAAAATACATATTTAAATTCTTATATTTCATCAATTTGCTTAACAAATGAAAAATACTTAACAAATCCCTTAATATATGTCGGCCTCTGGCATAATATATGTCGGCGAGTAGTCAGAAGGGGCTTTTACGAAGCCCAAATAGATGGTCCATGTCGACTATCTTTAAAATAACACTGCAGGCGTGTATACCAACGTGGATTTGTTCCATTTTATTACTTTTCATACAAAAATATAACGAGATGAGCGTGATGTCGTCGGATGTCTTTACTCCTCGGCGATCGGAAACAGAATGTGTGCGAAAAATGGCGGCAATTTGCGCTCTGTTAACGAACTGTCAAAGTCAGTGTCACCATTCTAATAAAATTAAAAGTATCAATGATCAAGCTCTCTCTACAATCGAGTCTAAATCAAACGATCTTCGTAAAGATGATGTGACTATAATATAATACAATTATAATCTGGGACTCTTCAAGTCAAGAGTGAATCGGTTCCTTCTAGGCAAGCGCGCTCTATCTTAGACCACTGCATTGCTTACCATCAGGTGATCTGTGGTCAACAACCTCCTCGATTACCACTCATGAAATGAGGAATCAGAAGAGCTTTAAAACTTCAGGATTTTTCCGAAGAAAACATTTCTAAAGTAGTTTTCACTTCAGTTTTGAAAAAACATGCTTTAAGATACATTATCCTCTAAAGTTGACTTTTCTAAACGATTTACGATTTTTGTAACAATTAATTTTGTTTTCACAATAGAATAGCTAACTTCTGTCCAATCTTATCGATAGAGTCTTCAACCAACAAAACCAAGTCAAACCTTTCCTCACAATATCATCAAATCAACAATAAGATTAATATGTCAAGGAACAGCCTGACGACAACTCAAATCTTCTAGCGTAACCTTCCTGGAACTGAAATAGGTGTAAACGTTCCTTTTCGCTGGATACAGCTCAAAATCTACCAGTAGATCGATCACACGATATTATGGGACCGTAAATAGTTGCTGTTGATGTCTTGCGTTCAGCGAAAAAACTTTATTTAAAAACTTAATTTTTGAATTTGAATGTCTACAAAAGGGATTATGCCTGGGTAAAAAAAAAAGAAATTCTTATGCCGTTACTCAGATAATAAAATAAATATTAGATTCCTTTTTTTACTTCCATTTAACAAGAAATGGATAAACATTAGTCATGAAAGTTAAGGAGCGGGGACTCGCTACGTCATTAATATGTTGAATGACGTCATGCGACATTTCAACTCAATGTATCACCATAATTTATTGATTACGCAAAAAAACACATAATCTACTTGACGGACACACGATAAAAAACATTATGTGTGTGAATAAGCATTTAAAAAACCATACAGACAAGAAAATCACTTCAATTTAACAAAGCTGATCAAAACACGAGCTGAAATAAAAACTAGTCATTTCCCCAGCTAGTGATATAAGATAAAGTTTATTTTCACAGCAATATAAATCAAAAAGATAAAAGTTATATGAGTATTTTATAACGACCACGAGCTCAATGTTTGATGTACTAATATCGTAGCCATGTTTGTTAGGTCTATAATAATTTTATTATTTGCAAACAAGTTTTACCCGCACTGTATGCAAAGTAGTTATCAGTTGAATATTTATTTACCGCGTGTTATATATTTTAGGACAGAATCATAAGTGGCGTGATTTGAATTGAGGGAAACGAGAAATGCATACATAGTATAAAACACAATCGCTGATATCTTTTAAACTTTACAAGGGATTTTAACGAGGTCTACATCAATATACAGAGCGGTTCAAGAAGAAGATTTATATGGTTTTTTTTCATCACACGATGACGAATGTGTCCTTGTTCCACCCCCTAGAATAAGGAGATGGGGGACGAAAGTCCCAGTTTGATGTTTTGATGATCTTCAGTGAGTGCGTGAAGTAGAGTAATCGGGGTTTTTACGATATCAATAAAATCAAAAGTATAATGGCTTTAAAATCAAAACTTTGTATGTTCAATAGGTTTGTTACTGGGATTACATGCCGAAAATCTGATATATCTAGTGGAATTCAAACATAAGTTATGACTGTCCAAAAATCCGTCGAAGCGTTTCGAGAAAAAATAGGTAGTACCCTTACGCTTTTTTTATTTTCGTTAAATATGTTGAACAATAGCCCTTTAGACCAACAGCCTGGCAAAGATTATATATGTAAGACACAAGTCACAAGGTACAAACCATCCGAGTAAATTTCCGTGTATACCTAATCTCCAAAGTTTGTTTATTAATAGGTTAAATAATAATTTTATCAAATGCTTTGAAAAAATCGGTATACACAGTGCCTACTTATTTGTTCTGTGCCTATAAAAAACCACCATATTTGTATTAATGCTAGGTGATTTTATGAACCCGTGTTAATTTTCCGAGTCAGATAGTTAGTAAGTTACTATTTTTTCCAATAGTTTCCCGAAAACACATTACTCTGAAATGGGATGGTATTGTGTTATATTATCATTGTCTTTGTTTTTAGGTATAGGTGTTAGAATAGCTTTTTTCCACGTATTCGGAGAAACACCTAAACGCAAACATGTTTGAAAGATGATGAAAAGTGGTTTCCAAAATTATTTTGCACAACTAGATATAAAATATGGGTGTATTCCATCAGATTCAGCGCTCTAACTAACATCAATATGCTTTAAGTATTGATACAATATTTCGAGATCGATAGTTGTTTCATTCGCTATAGTATTACCAGCATAAGCAAGATCATAATTATTTGTAGATCTAACACAAACAGACATAAGTATTAAAAGCGTTACAGATGTCATTTCCTGTTGAAAATGTTTTATTATTATAAGCCCTGAAAATTCCTTTAGAATTTCTAAATTCTTTTATATATTATAAAACGGCTAAGTTTCTTAATTAACTAATTTCGCCAT